AGAGACACACAGACACAGAGACACAGAGAGAGAGAGAGAGAGAGAGAGAGAGAGAGAGAGAGAGAGAGAGACAGACAGACAGACAGACAGGCGGACAGACAGACAGACAGACAGGCGGACAGAGGGCTGAACGGAATGCGAACCACGGGAAATGGTCAGTAGTGGGAATTGTACTTATTACAGTATATATCCATCACATGCATTTATGAAAGGCACACAAAGCACGACGATGCCAAGTAAAAGGCAGAAAATGCAGAAAGAGTAGACAACAGGAAGCAACGGTGGCATCTTGAATTGATTTTTTTTTTCCCCGCCGGGATGTGGCCTCTCTTGTTTCCATTTACGTGTTTTTCCTTTTATTCGTTTTATCCGTTTCTGCCCTCGTAAAGACGGAGACGTAGGTGAAAGGAAGAACGGGACCACAATGTATGGAGTGCAGGGTAGAGAATAAACCTCCCCATCCACCGTCCCATCAAAATGGCAGATAACAGCTAAGCAGTGGCGTGCCCTCTCTCTCTCTCTCTCTCTCTCTCTCTCTCTCTCTCCATCCATTCGGCTCCATCTGGGTCGTCGATCTCATGCATCCATATGTCTATCTATCTAACCATCTTGATTTCCCTACCTATTGATCGATCACGATCGCTCTTAACATGCATTTGTGTTGATTGGACTCTGGTTCACATCGGTTGATTCGGCCATTGGCAGAATTGAATAGGGGTCATATGCTGTGGAATCGAGTTATCTTACTCACAGAGAAGAGAGGAATGCAAATGTGTAGCTTGTCTCTAGAGGCGGGGGTCACTCTCCAGGTAGAGATAGTTCATTATTTCTCCTCGGTTCTCACGAAGTAAGTAGGCATGCCAGCTGACCTCAGAGGGATGCAGAGGGCTACCGTCTACCCCGGATAGAACGTACGGTCATTGTAGCTGCATGTGGGGGGGAGTAGTTTTCAGTCTGTATAGAGCCATAATGACCGCACGTTTTATTCGGGCGAAGACGGTAGTCAATCTGCCGAACAAAGTACTGGCACGGCAAATCAATCCCTATTTGGAAATGTCAGTCTGCACCTTGACGGTGTGTTAATCTTCTCTGCATCGTTCCAATTTTAACAGATGTCCCAAAGGACCACCGTGACGATGTGTTAGGGCAGGTAATGGGCCTCGCTGCACTACTCTTCACATGCACAAAAGACAAAAAAGATGGTAATGTATGTTTCCGTGTTCTCACGGAAGGTTCAGTCTCATTTTGCACATTCGGAGAGTAGTGTAGCGAGGCGCAATAGCCGAGCTTTTGACATTGCTTCTGACCGATTTGGCGGAAGAGGAGGAAGAGGAGGAAGACGAGGAAGAGGAGGAAGAGTAATAGCCATTCGATCCCGCAGTGAGGCAGGGAAGACAGATGCCGTGCATCAGGCGGGCGTATGCTGCTTTTGCGGCTGACATGCGAGAGTGAGGATCAATCAAGGAAGCAAAGCTCTTCCAGAGAGGAAAGCTTGAGGAAGTAAGACTTACGGCCTCACCTGCCACTGTCGAAATGTGAAAAAGACAAAAATGTGGCGGGTGCATCTGCCCATGTTCTAGCGGGAAGCTCATTCTCATTTTGCACATTTCCAGAGTGGTGTGGCGATGTCCTTAGGCCCTTGCTCCACTACTCACAAAATGTGCAGCATGAAAATAAACCTTGCACTAGAACATGGAAAGATTCACCGCCATGTCTTTTCTGTCTTCTGTATGTGTATGGTGTGTAGTGGAGCAAGGCCCTTAGGGTCTTTTTTTCCTTTATAGTTCTTTTTTTTTTTTTTTACCTCTGTCACTCTCGGGAAAACTGGGAAAACTGGGAAAACTCGGATAGACCGGGAGCAGTTTCCAGTATCCCGCTCACAGGCTGTACCTCGCGGATCGGCTACAAACTGCAATCGAAAGGCCAAGCTGTGAAAGCAGATCTTACCTACTCATGGCACAACAGATGCGAGGCGCTTGGACTGCATCACATCAACACGAAATGGGTAACGTTCTTATCCACACTCTCCTCAGCGCACTGGAGACCAAAGCAGGGGGACTACAGTGGCTACATCTGCATACCTGTATCCCTACTGCTCTTTGATGTTCAGAGAGGGGTATGGAGATTGATACTCAATGTACAGCGTGCGCACAAGCATCTCTGGAGGAGTCGCTACACCTATGGTGGGAGTGCATCATTGCAAGAGGTTTTTGGGATCGACTCCGGACTCTGTGGTCACAGGCATACGGTGACTCCTCCGTCTGGCAGAAAGACTTCATCGTCACAGGCAGAGTACAGGAGACTGTATAGACAAGCAGACTTATCAGATGGCCTGATTTTTTAGAACCAGGGCTTGATGTTTTATATGTTTTTTTTTTTTTTCGGTTTTTTTTTTACAATATGTCAGTAAGAAGTGCACTCTACAGATTGGTGTAAAGTATGGTTAAAATGACCCTTTGGTTTTCTTATAAATGAGGGTGAAAATTGGGGGGTCCGTTAACCTTCTCTCTGGATAACCAGAAGGGACACAATATTTTCGCAGAAGAAATCTTATCTTCAGACACTCTTCTCTCTTTTCAAACCAGCTTTTTTTTTTTAGGACAGACATTATGGCTGATTGGGTTAAACATAGAAAAATATTAAAAATAGTAAATGAGGCATTAGCTGCCAAGTAGTCCTTCCTATAGAAATGGTCTTCCCTTTATCAGTGGATCTACTTCAGGGGAAAAGACAAGCTTGAATACTCTGAGTTACTGTGGGACCAACCGACGCCCCTCAGCCCTTGCATTTTCAGGGGGGATCTGACAGCCGACAGGCTGAGAGGGACTGAATGGGGGTATGGAGCCCCCCAGTCATTCTTGCTACTACAGATGTATCTACTTCAATGTCTGATCACTGTTATAAGGGACGCTGGACCCGTTTTCCAGAAGGTGCAGCTCCCCACCAATCGATTGGAGTCATCCACCCAGAGGCCTCGATCCTGCTGGTTCTGGGCACGCCTCCATGCATACAACGTCCATCACGCCTCCCCGCCTTGCATGCCTGGCTGCATCAGCACACCTTATTGCCGCCTTCTTACGGCTGGCTGGATCGGCAGCTTATGTGATTAGTGTTTTCTGCCCTCCCTTTGCATAACCCCGCCATACCCGTTGTGGTCTTGCCATCCTTCAAAGAGAAGAACCAGACTTCCTCTCCTTTCTTCCCTCCCCCCCCCCTCCCCCCCATTTTATCCCTAACTTTCTACATCAGACACACTTTGTAAATCCTCCGAGTGGAATAACAGTGCGAGGAATGAGCTTTACACTCTCGGAATGACCTTCAGCAAGCTCAAAGTGGGCTGGCATGAAAAATGTAATACGACCATGAAATTCAGGACAGCAAAATTAAGAGGGTCTTGTTATTTTCTTCGCTATGACAATTCAACTTCCTTCCTCCACAAATTAGCTTCTTAGCTACAATATTTGCGGTAAACTCTGCACATAGTTTTCACATAGTTTTCACACAAGTTTTCACATAGTTCACATAGTTTTCACATAGTTTGCACATAGTTTTCACATAGTTTTCACATAGTTTTCACATAGTTTGCACATAGTTTGGACATAGTTTGCACATAGTTTGCACGTGGTCTTATCCAGTCTGATCTGATCAAATCCAAGTGAGCAATCTGAAGAGCATCACACTGATTACCTTCCTGATCCGTCCCTCCTTCCAGCCCCACCCTGCGTCTGCAAGCTTTCCATACGTACCAAGTGAAAAAATAGACCAGAGCTTGCCCCATCCTGCTCTTTTGTGGCTTGAACACCATCATGCTCTGTGAGATGCAATTCCTGACATGAAGCGGTTGTTCTTGTTGTTGACTTGCTGACATGCCCCTTCCTTATCATGTCTAAGTCAAGCGCAAGCCACAGGCAGGCAGATTATGTGCCGGAAGTCATTCAGGAAGGCAAGCTGAGCTGCACAGTTAGAGAACTCGTTGCTTTGCCTTGCTGCGCTTGAGCTGACCGTCTTGCTGCTCTTGAGCTGACCATCTTGCTGCTCTTGAGATGACCGTAGATATAGTCAATTCCATAGCAATAGCAAAGAGAGAGAAGTCCAGCTCACTTCCTGCAGAGCTTCAACCGGACTTCTTGCAGAGCCAGACTTCCCCCAGAAAAAAAGTCGACAACTAAACTCGGGAATCAAACTCCGCAGGAAAATCGAGGTCAGCTGCAAGCTCTGAATTCACAGCACAGCAGAGAGTGATCAAAGCCGGGCCTGAACTCACAGCGCAGCAGAGTTTGGTCAAAGCAGGGTTTGACTTCACAGCCACGCTTGATTTCACAGCCGGACCGGAGTTGACATCACCGCAGAGATAGGCTGAAGAAGATTAGACTTTTATTGAAATTCAAAACTTTTCAACCCTAAACAGAAGTCAACAGTTCAAGCTCTGAAATGGAGGTCTAAGTCAAACTCTGCTGAGAAGTCAAAGTCTGCTGAGAAGTCAAACTCTGCTGAGAAGTTAAACTCTGCTGAGAAGTCAAACTCTGCGGAGAAGTCGAGCTTGCCTTCAAGCTTTGAAGCGACGGCAAAGGTCAATCTCACAACCGAGCTTGCCTTCACAGAAGAGCTAGAATCACCTTCCAACTCTACATCTGAAAACCTGCTCGAGGTTTCTAGACGCGCAGAAGAGCTAGAATCACCTTCAGGCATCGGTCAGGTTGGTCACAGACGTAACAGTGATTTGTCTCAGAGTCCACCTGCTGCAATGTCTGCTGAACAGCAGGGCACAGGACACTCCCTCCCTCCTATACAACAACGACCTCCGATATCTGCTGTGCAGGACAGACCTGGGAACCAATGTTAGGAATGGCGAAACCTCTTTACTCATAACCACATCGTTGACTTTAGACAACTTTCTTTGTCTGCACTACATTCCCATTGGGTATAGGTTTCCCAAGGTTGCCACAGAATCTCAGGGCATGATAATACCCCTACATATGGGCGTCGTCAGCGATGTTAAACCACCAGTACTTAACCCAGCTATCGGCCCAGCTATCGGCCGCGGGCGGACAAAAATAGAGTCAAAATTTCTAGTCGGATGAATTTGGGCACTCCTGTAGTGGCCCGTACGTTTCCGAAAATCGTGGCTTGTTTATGGGCACAACTTTAGGAAGTACTTGTGGTTTAAAATTTTAAATGTCATCTTCCTGTCCTCTGCCTCGTCTGTTTCCTTTGCTGATTGTACTCTGCTTTCACTCACATGCCTGCCGTCCTTTGGCACACATTGACCTCTGCCATACTCTGCCATGATCTGTACTTACCATTCCTTTGTGATCCTGTTCATTTTTTTTGTTGGTTTTTTTTTTTTTTTTTTTTTTTTTTTTTTTTTTTAAGACACCCCCTTCGGTGATAGTGGTGCTGATAAGAGCAGACACCACTAGCACCTGAGGAGAGGCTCCATCTATTGGTGGGGAGCATCACCTGCTGGAAAACGGGTCCAGCGTCCCATATACAGAATGAATGTAGAGTGTGTAAGGAAGAAAAATAAGGGGCTCCTGCCAGCATTGATTACCCTGGCATCCAGGGGATTGACTGAGCAGGCTATTGGGAAGGGGGAGTAAACCTCTTCGCCCTGAAACGGGCGCCAAATATCAACTACTACAAACTAGTCCCTCCCCCTCTCCTCCTACCCATTTAGTACCAAAACTCTCTTTTTTGAACAGACTCTGCTTACCCTGGTAAAGGGAGCAGAGAAAAACTGACAAAGCAATGACCCGACTAGTCAGACCAGTCCGACCAGATTTAAGCAGATTTAAGCAGAGTTAAGCACCTGCGTACCAATGAGACTCTACTATTGAGTTTGCAGGCGGTGGGAAGGGATCAGGGAAATCTGAGAAAGGCCGCAATGGGATGGAGGGGTCAATACTGGTCCAATCATGAAAGTGGAGGTGGTAGTCACTTTCAAGCTTTTCGTTGTTTCTTCCTTCCCCCCCTTCCCCTCCCTCCCCCCCTTTCCACTGTATCTCCGTTATCCAACCCCCTTGTTCCCCTCCCAGCCAGTCCTTGCAGAAAGATTGTATTTTTCTTCATATTAATGTTTTGTTACATTTCTTTGCGATCATGTTCATGTTTTGTTATGCTTTGTTCTTCCGACTATAGTCTGTCGTTGTCAAATTTCTCTGCCAGCCATGCTGCACTCCATCATATCGCCACATATCTGATGTTTGTCCACATACTCTTCTCTACTTAGTATGGTCTCTGCTGTAATGGGCCACCCCAGTTGTGGTTCAGCATACTCAGCATGTACCCTTCGTTGACGGTGCCCCTATGCATGATCCCTTCCCTACTCTGCCATGCTCGCCGTCCCAAAATTTGGCACACCTTTCCATCTGATCTCTCATCATCCATCGCCATACTAGCATGGTATGGTCAAGCAGCGTAGGGTATAGCAATGTGCCAAACAAACATAGCTATAGCTGCTATACACTACGCTGCTTTATCACACAATGCTCACCGTACATCAGTGTACTTCGCCAGGCATTGTGCCACAAAACATGGCTATACTTTGCCTGGCAATGTGCCAAACAAACATAGATATACCCTACACTGCTTTGTCGTACGATGCTCGCCAAACATCCCCATACTTTGCCAGGCATTGCGGCGAACACAGCTATACTTGGCCGGCATTGTGGCGAACATAGGTATACTTTGCCAGGCCTTGTGGCAAACATAGCTGTACTTTGCCAGGCATTGTGCCGATCAAACATGGCTAACCCTAGTCATGCTAATAGCTATACTTTGCCAGGCATTGTTCACAACATAGCTATACTCTGCCATGCTTTGCCGCCGCCTGCGATACCCTTCCCTACTTCGTCATGCTTCCTATTCCACACGTCTGCATTTCACAATTCTCACCTGGTCATACACCGCCTCCAAACTTGCTGTTCCACACGTCTGCATTTTTCACGATTCCATCCTCACCATACATTGCCACACTTTGCTAGTGATAGTAAATCATGCTTGGTTCATCCTCAAAAGCTTGGCATGGCCAAGTACAGCTGAGGATGGCCAAGTACAGCTGAGGATGGACAAGCACAGCTGAGGATGGACAAGTAAGCTTTGTTGAGCGGCCAAGAAAAGCAAAGGATGGACAAGTTCAGCTTTGTTGAGCCAAGGATGGCCAAATAAAGCTAAGCATGCATACAATCTAAAAATGGTGGTATAGCGAAGCAATGGCCAAGGAAAGGCCGGATGGCTATTGAGTATGGGTAAACTCTAAGCATGGCCAGAAATACAGCATCACATGCAAAGCAGTACCACCTGAGTGAAACCCGTTCGAATCGGGACGGTGCAGAGAGGATAAGCATGCCTCCTCGTGCACAGATGACATGCACAAAATTGAGTTGCGGTGTTCCCACCCTCGTGACACCCATTAAACCACCACTACCTCCGAGCCTCATTTAGCAGAGGCAGAGTCTAACATCGCGCTGACGGTGGGAGCACCAGAGCGGCGTTTTCGTTTCCTTCTGGCTGGCACCGCCAGCCTTTGTGTCCTGGTAGTGCCCACCCAGCCTCTGCCTGCCTCTGAAGAATGAAGTGTAGGTTACTTTTACGACTCAGCCTCCCAACCTGAAAGGAAGTGGTGGTTTAAAATCGGGACCGCAAGAGAGGATCAGCATGGCCCTCGTGCACAGACGGCGAGCACAAAAGACTTCAGAAGTGACCAAGTGTGACCAGGTTCTGTGAACAAACGCCCTTTCTCTTACCCAGTTCAATTTCAAAAATTTGAGTACAAGAAGCTGGCTCTCTCCATGTAAACGAGGCACTCACACATACTGAGCTAATTACCCAAATGACAAATGTGTTGTTTATTCCCATACAAAAGTCAGGCGTTCGATTGTTACATTTCCCCAACAACAACAACAACAACAAAAAAAAAAAAAAAAAAAAAAAAAAAACCAATGCAGTGGCAACTCCACCGGCGCACGCTCACAATTTCCGTCCTGCTGCTCAGGTCAAGAGGAGATCTCTCTCTCTCTCTCTCTCAAAATTTAATTTAATAATTTATATAACTATTTATTTTAGTAGTTATGAAACTACCAATTAATTACTTCATACATATTTTTTATAAATATCTTAGGTATGGTATCTCTCTCTCTCTCTCTCCATTCTTCTGCACGCCTCTTCACTCCCCTCTCCACTGTCCCACAATCTCCACTTCTCTCTGCTCTGGTTATGCTGCATAATCTCCAGTTTTTCTTCTTCATTTTTCTTCTTACTATTTTAACTTCACTCTTACACATTACAAGGCTGTCCTTCACCTCAATTCTTCATTTCCAGAGTCCACATAAAAATACAAGGGTGTCATTTACCCTGATTGACCGACAGCAGTTTGCAAGGGTGTCATTCTTCATTCCGAGCCTTTCATCTTTGCCACCGACGGTCTGGATAAGCTGAGAGTGAGTATAAAATACAGTCAGGGTACATATCAATAGGAAGGTCGAAGAGATTTTGCGGCAAGCAGGTTGGTCGAAAGCTGAACTGGGTGATGCTCCCCCAGAATACCCCCCAGTCAAATTGTGAGGTCCCTGGCCTCAAACATCATTCAAAATATATCAAAAAACTTTTGTTCTTTTTTTTTTTTTTAATTAAAAGAAATAGAATTACAGAACGCAGAAATCACAATGTCAATTCCAGTAGATAAGGGTAAAATTGAAAAATGATACCACAACCAGTAGATAAGGGTAAAAATCATACCATATCTACCCCAGTTCCAAGATTCTACCCACTGCTTGCTTGCCCTTCTACAGCCAACGATTCTTTTATTACGACCAGCAGTTCTCACCACCCTTTCACTCCACAACCGCCCTTCTCACAGCAAGCTGAGAAATTGTCTTTTTTTTAAGTTTCTTTAAGTTTCTAAGCCATCCACATTCCTGGTAATTCTGCACACTGACTGACCGGCCCTGCTCTACAAAACGAAAAAAAAAGGGATTTTTTTTTTTTTTAAACACACAAAACAGACAATATACAACTATTCCCAGGAGTATTGAAAAGGGAACCCAGCAGTACCTTGCACACTAAACAGTTATCAGTTCTATGAGATAAATGAACTACACTGGTGCAAGTGGGGTCCCAGTGGGGTACCACTGGGACCCCACTGGGTGCGGAACACCCCCACTGAACCACCTCTTGCCCCTACTTCACTCACCACAATACAATTACAACATACTGTGTGTTATACATGCATTTGCAAGTCATAACATACCATGGCAGTACAGTACGCTATCACTGCAAACATACACAGCCTCTCTCTCTCTCTCTCTCTCTCTCTCTCTCTCTCTCTCTCTCTCTCTGCACTTCCCCTTCCTCCGATCCCTCCCTCTTTGCTGCAGTCCTCCTCTCCATCTGCTAACCATACTCTCTATTCCTCTGCTCTTCCTCGCTCGCTTCTCCCTGTGCACTCAACTCTGCACCTCTGCTCCCTCTGCTCCTCCACTATTTCACAAACTTGAATATTCTGAAGCTGTGCTCTGCGGGAGCTCGCAATGCTCTGCCACACACAAGCCACCACACACAAGCCATGTGCAGATAGCAGACAACCTTCAAAGAAGACTACTATCACTCCCGATCTTTTGCGCTGATCAAACCTCAACCTCTTTGCGCTGCGCAAGGAGTCAAACGCTGGATTTTACTCCGGACAGTTTGAAAGAGCCTGAATACTATTTCAGCATTCGGATCAGTTGCATCATTTTCCATCGACCAGTTCAACCCCGTTGCATTCCGGAAGCCCTCGTCAATGCTGGATGTTATACTCTGACATCAAGCAACAATTCCTCCTCATATCTGTGCACGTTGGCGGCCTTGACTCGTCGCTCCAGAATGATTCAGAGTTCACAAGACTGAACTTAACTTTGTCATCTTACTCCACAATTGGATCTTATCTGGCATTGATGACATGGCACCGGGTCTCACCCGGGTTTTTAGGAAGTGGCCGATGCAGAGTCAAGGGACGCGGTAGGGTGGCGAGGACTCTGAGGAGAAGGGTTCTTGAGTTATCATTTTGCGACCTCTTGGATCGCCTTACCTCAATAAAGTTCATTTCGTTCTTAATGGACTTCGATCTTTCATTTCGATCTTTGATCGTGTACTAATGTTTTTCCTTTTTCTTTTTCTCTCACCCTTTATCTGACTCATGCTACCATGATGGCAAGGGGAAGGCGTTAAGCAGTCGACTCCCTGGACTCATCATTCGATGTCAACTTCGATGTCAATTTCTCATTCCACCATTTGCAGTTCAAGTTCCGTGATAATCCATATAGCTTGCACCGACCTCTATCTGCTCCAGAACGGTCCGAATACGTTGAATTTCATCTTGCGACTTGACAATGGATCTTCATTTTTTTGTGAGTCGAGTAGACGTGGCAAGGAAGGCGTAAAGCACTGCAATCACTCCAAGATTCGAAGCTTGAACACCAGAGGGACCGTAATTCGGGGTCGAAGAATCGAATTCCATTCTTTTGACTGGGAACTCTTCAAGTAGGAACACTGGATCTTATCTTGACGAGACGACAATCACTTGCTATGGATTGATCGTATCCGGATTGTGAGCGCTACCAGTTGAACCGTTCGAGCTTCGAGTGCATTATTTATGGACATACTGTCCTCAACGTGCCTCAGAGCGGATTAAGTTCGCTCATTACTGTGGACAATCCCCAACGTCCCTGACATCATGGTGGCCAGAATGGATTAAATTCCATCATTGCTCGAAACACCATGATCTCTCTTATCTTCACTCAACAAAGTCAAACAAACGGATTCTTTTATTTTTATTTTTGATTGTTTTTTTTCCGACCACACACGGGAGCTAGAAAAGGAGGATATAAAGCCGCCGCCTCTAGCTACAACAAACAGACCTTATATATACAATATAGATCACTAGCACTGGATTTTCCTCGCTAAACCATTCAACAAAATTTTCAACCAGGAGGGACCGTATCTAGTCAATCTGGAGGACTAGATTATCTAGTACGTGGATCGCGCTGACCTCCTCCTCTATGTTCTCCAGAAGGGACCTTATCTAGTCAATCACTCCAGAATAATATTCTGTATCTTCACAAAATGGCTCAGGCCAGTGATCGTATCTCCTCTGGCAGGATTTGCTTTAGAGCTTTTTCCTAGTAGGAAAAAGCCTGCTCCTCCTGTCTGACTCACAGGGATTCTGACTTGATACTACTGTCACTGGTCACCCGCAATTGACTTGATACTACTGTCACTGGTCACCCGCAATTGACTTGATACTGTCACTGGTCACCCTCGATTGAACTTATCTTCAACTCACCACACTGTCAGACTTATCTTGATTGCACCCTCGACTACTCTCCCTTCCCATGGCCAGCATCCGCATGTGGCTTTGTGACTTCGACCATCGACTCAAAATGTCCTCTTTAAGCTTCACCAATGGCCTCAATGCTCTCACTGTGCTCTTCTTCACCTATGCCCTCGCTTGGGCACCCCCCCCCTTTTTCGCTGCCAAACTCTCAGCTTGACAGTTGCAACTCGTACTCCTGTGTAGGGTGCCTGGCGCAACGTAAGCCTGCCTGCCCACATTTGCTCCTCGACGACGCTCTACGGTCCTCGAAGCTGAGAGAACACTGCCGAGCAAGGGTTGGGCCCAGTTGCGGTCCATGTCAAGTCGAAAAGGAGGCGCGGACCACCGGTAGCCAGCTGTGTGGCGAACCACGAATCGCTGGCATTCACCACGTTTGCAAACTCCCTACAATGACAGCAAGCCATCAGTCATCAACAACAAAAACACCATAGACATGTTCAACACTTCTATGATACAGGCTACACACCAAACTCCATAAACACAACACACACACACACACACACAAAGAGAGAGAGAGAGAGAGAGAGAGAGAGAGAGAGAGAGAGAGAGAGAGAGAGAGAGAGAGAGAGAGAGGACGAACGCCAACCCTTGTAGATTGTAATCTATTAAAGGCGAGTTTGTGATCCCGACTAGCGAACGGTGATCTTCAACCTGCTGTCCTTTGTGTCTGTTTTCCTTGTTACCTTTCGATGGCTTTCATACTCCTTCCTCCAGGAGGAGATATTAGGTATACTGTATCCGAGTGGCACAAAGCACCAGCGACTGTCTGAAATGGAGGGTGAGACGATCTCCAGATCTTTCACTTTCACACCATTCAGACTTTTCTCTGCTCTCTTGGAATCACCTAAAACTGATCCACACAGTCAACTGAGGGCATACTCCAAGTAGGACTTTTTTTGACCGATTTCTGGTCATAATGCAGTCAGATTCATCCAGGTTTAACGTAATTGCGGTCAAATGCATCCTGGTCTGAAAATTCTCTGAGAAGCATCGAATCCTAAATCCAAACTTCCCCGAGAGGCATCCAATCCTAAATCCAACCTCCTCCTTCCGATTCTTCAGAGGGATAATTGCAGTCAAATCCATCTTGACTACAAAATAGTACAAATGCATCCGGGTTTAACGTAATTGCAGTGAGATTCATCCAGGTTTAACATATTGCAGTCAAATGCATCCTGGATGAATTGCAGTCAGATTCATCCAGCTTTAACATAATTGTAGTCAAATGCATTCTAGTATATTGTCAAGATGGACATTCAGAAGCAAGGTTTTCGCAAGTGAGACCGTCTGAACAACGAGCAAGAAAAGTTCTTTTTCTTCTTCTTCTTCTTCTTCTTTTCTTAATTCCAAAAACAGGGCCCTATGGTCCTGGACTGAAGAGCAAGTGTAACTGATGGAGTCTTCTTCTTCTTCTTCTTCTTCTTCTTAATTAAAAACACAGGGCCTTATGGTCTCAGGCCCTAGAGCAAGGGATGGAAACTAATAGAGTCAGAAACAAAGAATTGAGGTAATTGAAATCTTGCCCCTGCTGCCCCACCTTTAGTACAACTAATAACACCTTTTCCCTTTTCTCTCTTACTAAATGGATCCCCATCTAGAAGCACAAAAGGGATCCTGGGGTCATACTTACTAGTGAAAACAAATCTACCTGCAATCTGTCTGTCATCTGAGATAATCCCACAGTGCAAGTCCTGCTACTGCAAGTACAAACCCTCATGTATGTATCTGTCTTTTCTGCTGCTTTTCCTATAATTACCCCCCCATCCTCCACCCCCCCCCCCCCCCCCCACCCCCACCCCACAAAAAAAAAAAAAGGAGCTAAGGTATTCACTCCCCACTTCCCCCTCCCCACCCCCCCAACTAACAAAGGATTTGAATTTTGAAGCTATGGGTGTCAGAAAAGTTACCACGGGGGTAACTGGAAAAAAAAAACAAAAAAAAACAATGGAGCTTTGCTTGATAACTTTTTTCAAGAGGGGTTAATTAGCCAAAAACAGCTTGGCTCCTTCATAAAGGGGACCTTGCCTCTCTCGAAGGCCACTGGGCGAAGATAGCTTGGGTCTGTCTTTCCGGCAGCAACTCCAGAAAACAAGCCTCGGGTGCAATGCCACAAACACGAATGTGGTCGCAAAATTGGTAAAATTTTTCCATACTTACTATTAACATACATACCTCCCTAGCAGGGACCGGCACGTACACCAGTGGACTAATCCTAGCCATCTGACAGATCACAATCAGATGGTATGGAGTTAACCCCAATATCAGACATATAGTGGCACGTGGGTCGATCAACCTTCGTTCACTGAAGCAGTTCACCTGGTCATTATAGCTGTGTAATGTGGACAATCCGCAGTCCACGATACAGCGACAATGACCGAGCATTCTATTCCGTTGAAGACGGTAGACATCTCACTCGAAAAATCAGACTGTCAGGGAGCAGATACCCGACATCGGGAGCACCTCTGCCTCCAAGTCCCTTTCCACCGAGCAGGAAAGGTCCACTCCGCATCACGCTTCACCACCAGTGCAGCATCTTTTTTTCTTTACTCGGCATTTTCTTTTCCTTTTCTTCTGGCTCCCGTTGCCAACGATTCTGGTCTGGTAGTATAGTACTGTTCATCTGAGGCCCACAGAATGCGACTCCCGAGGTTCCGAGTCCCGAGGTCGGGCCCGCAGAATTTCGGTGTGACGTTGCCCAAGACAGGTGGTGATGGTTGAAGCCTCACTCCAATCTCTCGACGGAGCCGAATCCCACTTTCAGACTCATCCAACTTGAACCAAGATGACGTCGGTATCTGGCCACTAACCTAATCTACCAGTGAAGAGGACAATGGACTCAAAACAGAAAATAAAAACAACGACATAATCGCCCGCAAGACAAATTCACAGACGACGCATTGCATCTAAGATGAGCCCAGGGCTCACCTTAGCTCATCTTAGCTAAAGAAGAGACCCAGGTCAGAAACGTCCGGTCACCGACGACACAGTTGACGCTGACACAATGAACAAGAACAACAGGATGGCATCAAACAGAGCTACAAATCACTAACACATTTGCACATCAGAATGTAGAAAGATGGGTTAGCCTCTTTCTGTCATAGAGAGTACATCTTTCAAAAGTACTTGTCATTACTAACACATTGTTTATGGAAGGCTGTTCCATCTTCAGTGTACCAACTGGTCATTATTGTGAGTTCGCTACTAACACATTGTTTATGGAAGGCTNCAACTGGTCATCATTGTGAGTTCGCTACTAACACATTGTTTATGGAAGGCTGTTCCGTCTTCAGTGTACCAACTGGTCATTATTGTGAGTTCGCTCTCACATTATCAATCGCGAAAATTCATTCAAAGTTTCAAACTTCAGAATTCAAACTCTGGTTAACGAAACAAGACCTTCAAAATAATTGATTTTTGATTTTTGAATTTTTCTATTGTACAAACGGTTTATAAGTTATAGCCTTTTCCAACAGCAATCCCCACATTGGGTCTTTTCCAACAGCAATCCCCACATTTGGGTACAAGAAATGTGAGTTACTTGCAACTGCCTTCCAGGAAGACTTCAGGAAGATGAGTTGGAAGGGGGGGCGGAGAGGAACTGGGCGGGCAAGACGGGTAGTCTGCAGGCGCATCTACATATTGCCCGGCAATGCAACACCGCCATGAAGCCTGGGCAAGTCGCTCAGCGGTCACCTGCATGGGGCACCCCCCCGTGCAGGCAACAACCAGCCCTTCTCTTGTTTTTTTTTTTTTTTTTTGGGTGGAGGTTTTCCGCACATGGACAAGAGTGTTGGCTGTCAAGGGGGGGGGGGGGGGGGGTACGGGTAGTCTGCAGGCGCATCATGTCATTCGGAACTTAGTGCGCGAGGCGTTAATTACATATTACCCGCCAATGCAGCACCGCCATGAAGTGCACCCCCCGGTGCAAGCAAAAACCAGCCCTTCTCTTGTTTGTTTTTCTTTGGGGGGGGGTGAGGTTTTCCGCACATGGACAGAGAGTATTGGCTGCCAAGGGGGGGAGGGAAGGGGGGTACAAATTGGTTTTTAAGGGGGTAAAGGGGTTTGAAGGGGGGTGCCTTAGTCTGATTCTGTTGTTTTCCTTTTTTTATCTTCCATTCCATGAGGAATTATGCAGGGACGCTCAGCCAAAAGTCCTTATTACAATTCGGCACAACATTTCTTTTTTCTGGAATTTTTGAATTTTTTTTTCTCATTATCTTTGGCGCTGGGGCTGCTGGGAACCCTGCTCAGGAATCCTGCCCGGCCAGGCACCCGGGCGTGTATCCAGCGGGCACAGGTTGGGTGGCAGGGTTCCCGGACAAACAGCCTAGCTTATTACTCAATGACAGCCTGAGGACCTCCCTGCACAGTACCCTCCTCCCCCGCCCCCCGCCCCCCCCAAAAAAAAAAAGAAAAAAGAAAACAACAGCCCCGAGGTCGGGTCTATGGAATGCCCTTCTCAGTGTTCTTACCCCTTTCCCTCAAACATGACACTACCCTCAATGATCCCTCGTTACATTTCACAAACAATCACCATATATGGAAGATCCATTTCTCACAAGAAAGAACCCAGGGAATATAGTCACACGAGATATTTGGGACCTATTTCTTTATTTTGTTTATGTGTATCCGGAACTCAACAAAAAAAACACACTGCGCGTGAAATCAATGAAAGTGGGAAGCTATGTAGTCAGACATTCGGTAATAGTCACACGAGACGTATTTGGCCTTATTTCTCGATGTAATTGCAAACAGGTACATTTAGTAGTGGCCATGCTTGTGTTCAGATACATGAAGTAAAGTCCTTGTCTGAGTATCCCCCTTCGATCAGGTTGAAGATCCCACGTAGTGTGGTCTGACATAACCTTTCATTTCGTGTATTTTTTTGTTTTTTTTTTCTGCCACAGTGTGTGCTGACATCATATCCTCACCAGAGTGGAAGTCCCAGGTTCACTGTACCGTTCATCTGCAACCATTGTCCCAGATCTCCCTGCGACATACAAAGACATGCACACGTACACACATACAAATGTGCACACATGGACAGAGTCAACAAACACATAACCAACGACATCCCCACATTCTCGTAAACATACACAATCACACACAAGCACATGCACTTACACATCATGACGAATGTACACATGCATGCACAAATGCACGTCCACATTCACATGCCGACATGCACATGCACGTACACATGCACGTACGCATAAACTTATGCCACATACAAAGACGTGCACAAGTACACACATGCACACACTCAACAAAGACGCATGCCAAAATGCACATGCACGTATGCCGCATACAAAGACATGCACACATGCACACATTCAACAAAGAGAATTACAACGACATCCCCACATGCTCAAACATGCACATTCACACACACGTACAAATACATTCACGTACACATCATGATGTATGTACACATGCATGCACATATGCACATACACATGCACATACATGCACATGCACGTCCACATTGGCATGCCAGCATGCACATGCACGTACACCACATGCACATACACAAACATACACATGCCCACACGTACACACACATGCACGCTTATACACACATCACACCCCACGGAAAAAAAAAACGAAAAACATCAATAAGGTAAACACACAACATGGAGATGGCTATCTAACCCCCCCAGCCTGAGTGCGGCTGTAATTAGTACTTACATTGCTACTGCTGCATTTGTAACGCTGCACAGACTCAGACCGTGAAGTCTTCTCGGCACCACAAAAATGCAATTGTGATTGTGACAGTTTTCACCAAAACTAATTATGATACCAGTGATGACACTGGCAAGTACGTCCATTGTATCACATACCATAAAGCATGCTATACAGTATGAACATAGTCTGACATAGTATGTCATGCTGTATAGTATGTACATCGCATTCCGACATTCATAGTATGCAATGCCACTTAGCACATACATCATTACATACATACACATCAGTACTGGCATAGTATGTACATAGTGCTTACATAGTACATACATACAGATACATAAAATACCTACATACATACAAATTCATAGAATACCTTAGTGCATACATCATTGAGTACATACAGAGTGTAGTACCGCCATAGTACATACATAGTGCGTATAAAATACATAGTGCATGCATAGTAGACACCTACTAAATGAGTACATACATTGCGCATACAGACTACATACATAGTAGTATAATACCTACATAGCTCATGCATAGTGGATACATAGTAAATGCATGCATAGTAGATACATAGTGCGTATAAAACACGTACTTAGTGCATGCATAGTAGACACCCTAGTAAATGAGTACATACATAGCGCATACATACTACATACATAATACATGCATAGCTCATGCATAGTAGATACATAGTAAATGAGTGCGTACATAGTACATACATACTACATACATAGTGCGATGAATTATACTTACATTCCAAACTACATCATTCATAGTCTGTGGGATGATTTATACTCACATTCCATACTACATTCATAGTATGCCGTAGCGCTTAATGCGTAGCACTGCATACACACCAAGTACAAACTCAGTGCAGTACCGGTATGGTACATACGTATTACTATTATTACATACATAGTGCCTACATAGTACACGCACGTGCATACTGAAACATAGTCAACGAGTGCATACATAGTAGATCAAGTACATACATAGAACCTCTACACCAAGCTTACATTTCAACCTTACACACAATTACTGCAGCTACACTGCAACCCCATCCGCAAATCTCTTGCGATTGCAGAACTACTCACATAATTCACCATCTGGCCACTCATCTGATTCAGCCAGTCGACTGACAGCTCTGCAGGTGACTGTGCAAAGTTACGATACGCTGTTCTGTTGAAGCCCGCGATCATCGATCCATTTATCGTCGAGAATGTCACAGTTGAGCCCCAGAGGTATGCAGAGTAGTTGGCGAGCTCTGTACCGACAGCGATACCCGTCCGGCCTACTGGAAATCCAGTCCCTGCATGTAGTTAATGACATAGAAATACACGAGTCAAGACACCAAAATTTCACCGCAGTTCAACACGTTGGACTACTCTTTCTTTCTCACAAAAAACGAACAAAAAAAAAACAAGTCATACCACTGAGCAGTCGTAAATACAAAAGCTTCAAGGCATTTACCTCAGCGACCACCTATATTAACAGCCTCAATCAGGTAGTTGCAGCTTGTAACAGTGGATGGTTACTAGTTAGCAACCCACAGTCAAAACGTTACCACCACAGTAACCACCACAGTAACCACCACAGTAACCACCACAGTAACCACCACAGTAACCCACTTGTGGCATACTGATACCACATGGGCCCCAGTTAGGGCCCGGTTCTGTAGTAGGCACGGTTTAGGCCTAGCACCGGGTCACGACGGTCCCAGTTAGGTCCAGCTGGGCCTAGGAACCGTTGGTTCAGTCCAGGGTCCGGTAGGCCTCGTTACCCCACCAGACCCAACGGCTAGTTAGGCCAGATACCGGTCCATCGGTAGGACCGGCCGGCAGCGCAGTTTAGGTCACTCTTCAGATTCAAAATCGGATCTGAACCATTGGGCCTGATCAATGGTCCAGACCCGAAGGCCCTCAGTAGGACTGAGGCCGACCCAGCACTATATCAGCTGGGTACCAGCCTCTGTCGGTAGGTTGGTCGACAGTCAGTCTGGAGATTAGGCTACGAGTTAGTCTACAAGATTAGCGCAGCGTTTCAGCGTTGAAGAGATTAGCACAGCAGCAAGGAGGATCAGCGCAGCAAGCAGGAGCAGTGCCCGCCCTCTGGCCCAGCCCGCAGCCCAGCACCCAGCCCTGCAGCGCCATCGCTGCACCGCCAGGTACCAGGGAGAAAAGGCCTGCCTTTCCTCCCTCTTCCTCCTCTGCTCTCGCTCTCTCTCTCCCCCTCTCGCTCGCTCTCTTCCTACCCTCTGAGTCTCGGGTCACTCCTACTGGACTACTATGACTATGGAGGATGATTACGAGTTCTGATGACAGTTGAGATAGTAACATTGAGACATAGGTTGAGGACTACTTCCGGGGTCCGACTCCATCTACTTCTGGAGATGTATCTTGATATTGGGAGATTGACATATGGGACACCGTGAGACTCTGTTTTCACGACATTTAGGACTTGCGTTACTTACGACTTTCGAGATACTATTTCTGGATTCATGGTGTTGACGTCACTCCTCCTCCTTCGTCTCTGCTCTCCCTCCATTTGTCCGTGTATGATCTCAGACCCTGCCCTTTTCTTCTGTGTCCAAGGCCAGGGCTTTCACATCACCGATGTATGTTGAGTGTTTCATTACAGTCTGAGTCAGGTCTGAGTCAATCCATGTATCTCAAGTCTTCCGCTGTATCTGTATTTGTATTAACTATGTATTATCTGGTCGGTTCTGGGAATCAGCGCCATACTTATGACTGTGTTTCACGAGTATGCAACACACTTCAGCAGTGCTAAAAAGAGGGACCTCAGTGACTGTGTTCACGGGACCTGAGGTGGTTTCCGCAGAGGTGGTGGTAACTGTGACTACATGGTGGTAACTCAGGTGGCAACAGAGGTGGCAGTAACTGAGGTGGTGGTAAATGTGGTAGAGGTAGCTCAGGTGGTGGTAACTGTGGTAGTGGTAACTCAGGTGGTGGTAACAGGGGCGGTGGTGACAGGGGAGGTGGAAAAAGAGGCGGTGGTGGCAGTAACTGAGGTGGTGGTAACTGTGGTAGTGGTAACTCATGTGGTGGTAACTGTGGTACTGGTAATTCGTGTGGCGGTAACTGTGGTAGTGGTAACTCAGGTGGTGGTAACAAGGCTGGTAGTAACTCAGGTGGTGGTAACAGGGGAGGTGGAAACAGAGGTGGTGATGGCAGTAACTGAGGTGGTGGTAACTGTGGTAGTGGTAACTGGGGTGGTGGTAACTATGGTGCCGATCACTGAGGTGGTTACTACTGTGGTGGTGGTTACTGACGCGGCGGTAACTACTGTTGTAGCTGATGATGGTTACCACAGTGAAAGATGAAACTGTGGCAGCAACCTAGGCTGTTTTTCCGTACTCCCGGGAATGGATCTTGTGCCCGAACATACAGCCACCTGGCCGACCAAGACGCCCAGACAGGGTCCCAGTTGCCCGCCCCGAAAAAAAAGAAAAAAAAAAAAACCGAAAAACAACACCTTGTGTAGAATTGCAATGCAAACAAATTTGGGCTGAGGGTCACCTCAGAATCCCTATAAAAAAAAAAAAAGTCAAAAACCTGAAATTAGGCATCCCCCTAATGCAATCGAAGACAAAAAGAAAAGTAAGATAAAGGCATTCCCCTTCAAAGTTCAAACCCCAACCGTGAAAAAAAAAAACCACAGGAATTTGAACACGCCCAGTAGAAAAGGGCCGTGATCCGTGGAAGTGTTTTCACATGCCCAGGGTGAAATTTTCCTGGACTTTTTCCAGCAAACAGTCCTGCAAACCTGCATCAATGCAGAAAAGGCCCATCATGACCCTCCCCCCCCAAAAAAAAGATCCTGAAGTTTTTACATTTCCAACCAATATTCACCAACCTTTCATTGCACAATCAAATGGAAAGTTCGAAACCGATCTGCACCCCCC